GGAATTCTAATTCCCAGTTTTTGAAGGAAGAAACTGAGGCCCCAAGTGGCCCCCAAGCATGGAGGCAGAGGAACGTCAGATCTGATCCCAGCTCTGTTGCCTCCCAGCTGTGTGGCCCCAGGCAGGCCACCTAACCCCTCAGTGCCTCGCAGTCCCCATCTGGGAAACGGGACAACAATGTTCCCAACTTGTGGGATGGTTTGAGGGATCAAATGATCAGGCCTGGCAGGCTCTTCCCCACAGCTGCCTGGTCACCTTCTCTGCGCTTGAATGTCACCTCCACTCACAAGCCCTCTCTGAGCTCCTGTTAAAAGCTGCGACTCCCTTCCTGCCCCCCACGCTCCCCCGCTACATTTTTAACACAGAATTGAATTCGCTTATTGGATTTGTTTTCTGTCTGTTTCCCCCCAACTCCGCACAGCCCAGGAGGGCAGGGAAGAGATCTGTCTGGGTCAGTCTGTCCCACCTCCAGAACGGTGAGGCATGCAGTAGGTGCTCAATGGGTAACTAAATAAATGCAACCCATTTTGCTCCTGTCTGCAGACAGGGGCTTGGAGCCCCGAACCTGATGGCCACGAGGGTTGGTTAGATCTGCAGCCACTGGTCTAGTTAATCGCTTTGACCTGTCTTGGACGTGAGAGAGAGAGAGAGAGAGAGAGATCGAGAAAGAGAGATCGTTTCTCAGGTACTGACATGCTGAAATAGCAGAAACCCCAGAACTTGGCCACGTAGCAGGTGGCGAGAGCCACCTGGGCCCAGGAGAAACTGTATTCCTACGCCAAAGGGTTGGAGTCAGGACTGAGGCTCATTTCCAGGGAAGAAGGGGACAGCAGTCTCATTCCCCTTTATAAAAAGCAGAAAAAATAATCTCTTCCTTGTCCCTCACCTCTGGAGTGTCGGGCTTCTCATATAAACAACTGACCTGGCTCCAACCGGTGGCCCCAGGGTGAGACCCGGCCACGTGGGGCAGGGGAGGGTCGCACTTAAGATTAGGAAATCAGTCTGCCCCAGGACACGCAGTCCACGTTCATGTGAAATGAGTAAAGATGAATGTTAGAAACCTAACAGACTGCAAATTCTAGACCCTGACGACTCGCCCCGCCACCCTCAGTGTCCCCTTGGCCCCGCCTGGAGGAAGATTCTGCCTCTGGCCCCAGCAGGGACAGCCCTGGGCCATGGGGCTCAGGAAGCTCCGCACATCAGTCAAGAAGGATCCAGAAAGCTCAGGGCTGGAGTCTCCCAGGGGCAGGAAAAGGAGACCCCAAAGCTCAAGATGTGTGCAGGAGGTGGCAACAGGTGACGCTCGGGTTTGTGGGGTCCCACGGAGCCGCAGGTGCTTTCCTGGGCCACCCAAGGCCGTGCGGGCTGGAGTGGGGTCTGCGTGGGGACAGGACGGGCGCGGGCGTCACCTGGGGAAGCCGGAGCGCACGTGCAGCCCGTCCACGTTCTGGCTGACGAGGAAGCGGAGGAGGCCCACGCGCTCCAGCTGCACCAGGGCCATGTGGGTCTGCGTGGGCCGGGCGCTCTCGAATGTGGTGTCGAACTTGGGGGCCAGGCCCCGCTCCTCCATGGTCCACACTCCGTGGGGGCCCCTGAAGGCAGCAGGTGGGGAGCAACGTGGGAAGAGGGAGAGTTTGGAGGAACAGGAGAGAGAGGAACAGAAAAAGAGACAGAGAATCAGGGACAGAGAAAGAGAGAAAAGAGAAAAATAGAGGATGTGGTCACTGAACCCCGACACAGCCACACGCAGCCAGCCTAGACGGAAGACTACATTTCCCAGCATCCCTTGCAGCTAGGTCTGATCAGGTGACCAAGCTCTGGCCAATAGGGTGAGTGGAATGCTGGGTGTGACTGCAAAGGACACATCTGAGAGGGAGAGTCTTCTCCCTCCCCAGTACCCAGGACTCCACCAGCAAATGGGTTTGGGCGCCCGGGAGTCTGTTGCTCCCAGGGAAGCCCTGGCAGCGTGGCAGGCCCTGCCTCGACCTCCCCTCACTGCTCCCAGACCTGAAGTCGGGGATGCCCGAGGCGGTGCTGATGCCGGCGCCCGTGTGGAACACCACGTTGGAGGACTCCCAGACCAGCCTCGCCAGCTCACGCACCTTCTGCGCCAACTCCTCTGGGGGATCGAAGATCTGTGGGGTGAGAGAGCGCAAGGGAGGGGTCAAAACATGTCCCCCAGGTGGCAAGGCCAGACTGAGCTGTCCTCGCCTTGCCCCAGGGAGGAGAGGAAAATGGATTGGAAAAGGCAGCTTGTCCTAATGTCCCTCCTCTGCCTATAGCTCTCCATGGTTCCCACCTCCCTCCGGGTCAAAGCCTCAAGTCCTCCCTGAGCCTCCAACATACCAGGTGTGGTCCTGCCCCAGGGCCTTTGCACAGGCTGTTCCCCCTGCTTGGCACGTTCTTCCCACATGATTCCCACCTCCATCTCCTTCAGGTCTGGGCTCAAATGTTACCTTAGTGATGCCCCCACCCCCCACCCCAACCCCAC